GTGGGCTCCACTTTAGGGCCCAGGCAAGGGACCCCTAGCTCCCGGGACTGCCATCTTCGACCGTGCCCAGCTCCCATCGCTGGCTCCACCCCTACTTCCTGCCATCACTGGCCAGGGCGGCAAAGGCTCTTAGCTCCCCCCTGGGTTTCTGATCACTGTCAGTGGCAGGGGTCTTCTTCCTGCTTTCCCTTTCGCCTCCCTGCATTGTGCCTACATATGCAAATTAACCGCCATCTTGTTGGCAGTTAACTGCCAATCTTAGCTGACAGTTAACTGCCAATCTTAGTTGGCAGTTAATTTGCATATAGCCCTGATTAGCCAATGAAAAGGATATCGCCGTACACCAATTACCATTTTTGTCTTTTATTAGTGTAGATAATATTCTATTCTGTTGTTATACCATATTTTTACTCATCCGTTCATCAGTCGATAGACATTTAGATTTCTTACAGTTTTTGGCTGTTATGAATAATGCACCATTGAACATTTACATACAGATCTTTATATGGACATATGTTTTCGTTTCTATTGGGTTAATAAATTTTTAGCTTATCTTTTAAACAAGTAATTACTGTTTATAGGGAGATTCTTAAAGAAGATGAGTCAGGATCACTGAAAGCTACAATAGAAGACATTCTCTTCAAAGCAAAGAGAAAAAGGTATGTAAACTTTTTTGTAGGTATGTTACAAAAGCTAAAATATATTTCTTTAAGCTTTTCTGTGCACCTATACCCCACTCCTCAGTACTTAATTTAACCAGTGTTTCAAGGAATTTGACCTGTAACCTAAACAGGGGGAAGGAAACAGGAACCTAGTACTTCAGCAGGGAAATGGGTCTTTAGGGACTATCCAGAATGCCTATAATTATGTGGCTTCCGTAAGTTAATAATTTACTAAATAAATGCAGGCTAGTTGAAGCATTGTATTGATTTTTGGGGGCAGTATATGATAGTCCATTAAAATGTTTGCATAATTTTAACAGAGTATTTGAGCACCATGGACAAGTTCGACTTGGAATGGTATGTTATTTTTTCCTTTACTGGTACAGAACTATTTTGAAGTTAAGAAGCATTCTGCTTTGATAGAATAAACAAACCTTTTAAAACAACATATTAAAAAAATATATAGACTATGTGAGTACTAAATGCCATCTTTACTTCTTGGTCAAAAAAGTATTTGAAAACTGTCCTTCTTTGCATTTTTTTTGTAGATGCGCCATCTTTATGTGGTAGTAGATGGGTCAAGAACAATGGAAGACCAAGATTTAAAGCCGAATAGACTGACATGTACTTTAAAGGTAAAAGAAAATGTTTTACATACAATCTTTTTTCTTTTTCTTTTGAGTTAATACAAATTATAGCTAAGTAGAAGTGCTACCAGATCATTTAGAAAATGATACACCAAAATAGGTAATTATAGTAGCCCTCCCCACCCTTATCCTCAGTTTCAGTTACCATGGTCAACCGCAGTCTGAAAATATTAATTAAAAAACTCCAGAGAAAAAAGTTCATACGTTTTATTTACTTAATCCTCACCCGAGGATATTTTTGTATTGATTTTAGAGAGAAAGGAAGGGAGGGAATGAGAGAGAGAGACATAGGTGTGAGAAAGAAACATCAATCGGTTGTCTCCCGTATGCGTGTGCCCCAGCCAGGGATTGAACCTGTATTTGGAGTATGGGACAATGCTCTAACCAACTGAGTCACCGGCCAGAGCTAAATTTTATCATTTTTTATTTAATATTTTACTACTGAACATTTTTGAAAATCTAATAACTTAAAAATCATGCTTGATAAATAGGTTTCCCAAAATATGTTCCCTATGGTTGTTATTTTGCTCTTACCTGGTATTTCCTTTTGTTTTATTTGAACAGTTGTTGGAATACTTCGTAGAGGAATATTTTGATCAAAATCCTATTAGTCAGGTATGTAAATAAGTGATGGAATTCAGAATTAGATTCCTGATATTACTGCCAAATAAAATTTATTTTTAAAACATTGGGCATCTGTTCTATAAATTATTAAGTGATTCAGACTGTTTACCAGTTTTTAGTACATTTGTCAATGAAAAACAAGATAACTCTAAAAGTTAAATTATGTACAGTGAACTCATAGCTAAATTTATGTCTAAAGCATCATGAAAAAAGGTTTCTCACATGTTACTTATTCCTTTTGTAAACACTAATTTATGTTAATGTACATTCTTTCCAAGAAGTAATTTGTTAAATTAATAATCCTTTTTGTTTTTATTTTTAGATTGGAATTATTGTGACAAAGAGTAAAAGAGCGGAAAAACTGACAGAACTCTCAGGTATGCATAAAATTACCTTTATAGGACTCAAGGACTTGGCTTTATTTACTCAGCCTTGTAACCCTATTCAAAAGATTGCCTAGTAAGTAAAATTAGGCCTTCCTGTATGTTCTCTATTAAATTTGGTATCAAAGATGAACTGTTTTTATTGTGTGTGTGTATCTTTATTTTTTAATCCTTACCTAAGGATATATATTTTTGAATTGGTTTGAGAGAGAGAAAGAGACATTACTGGTTGTTTCTCCACCAGAGATTGAACCTGCAACCTGGGTATGTTCCAGGGCTAAGACAAACTGTTTTACTTATTTATTTAAAGTATATTTTTATTGATTTCAGAGAGGAAGAGAGAGGGCGAGATAGAAACATCAATGATGAGAGAGAATCATTGATCAGTAGCCTCCTGCATGCCCAACACTGGGGATCGAACACACAACCCAGGCATGTGCCCTGCCTGACCAGGAATCGAACCATGACCTCCTGGTTCATAGGTCGATGCTCAATCACTGAGCCACAGTGGCCATGCGGTGAGTTTTGATTATCATTGCTTAATATGAAAACTGTTAAAATAGGAGAAAATGTCTGAAAAATACTATATTTCATTGAATCTCGAATTTCATAATTTTTGAGATACCATCAAGAACAAAACACCGCCCAACTGGAGTGGCTTCATTGTTTGAGTGTCATCCTGTGCACTGAAAGGTTGCCAGTTCAATTCCTGGTCAGGGCATATACCTGGGTTGTGGGTTTGGTCTCCAGTGAGGGCATGTAAGGGAGGCAACTGATTGATGTTTCTTTCTCACATCAGTGTTTCCCTCTTTCTCTCTCTCTCCTTTCCTCTCTCTAAGCATGTCCTCTGGTGAGGATTAAAAAAAAGAAGGAAACACTAGCAATTAAACTTTGACACAAGATCAGTGATACGTGACTTGTTCATATCAGCTTCTTAATGATGTAATGTGTTTATCAACGATTCTAAAGAATTGGGCAGTTTGTCCTCCCTTCATTTGTATAACTTGGCTTGAGATGGAGAATTTTTTCATAGAAATTATTTCTATAACAGAAGATAACACAGCTTTGTATATTTGTGGAAATCCTCCTTAGGTTTTTTAAAGCTCTTGGGGTTTTCCCCTGAAGAAAAATGTAGAATTGCAGACATTCTTCTATCAATGAAGTTTTGCTTGACTACTACAAATTTACACCTCACTGCTCTGTGCCATGTCTTTCTACATAAAGATTTAACCTTTTGTATTAATAACCTTTCTAAAAAACACTTTATTTCCTATTTATTTTTTTTAATTTAAATCTTTATTGTTCAGATTATTACATTTGTTCCTCTTTTTTCCCCC